ATATGTATTGCTTGAAGAAACCATGAGAACATTCAGCTCTTTGGCTGCTTGACATTCCAGCGGCAAAAAAGTGTCGTGCGTAGGCTGGAACCCAAGATTCCCTTAAATCAAACATTGAACTTAGCCATGGATGGTCAGTCAAACCAGCCTTTGTAACCACAATATTCCATTTTGCATCAAACTCATCCTTATTGTCAGTATCCCATATGGCTTTCTGGAATTCGCCCTAATACTCCTTATAAGCAGAATGTGGTAACTTACCAGAGAACTTTGATGTGATGTGCCATATGCAAAGTCGATGAAATGTAGTCGGGAAGGCTATTGAAATCGCTCTGCTCATTGCCGCATCTTGATCTGTGATGATCGTTTTAGGTTCGCCACCTGGCATGGCTTTCTTAAACTCCTCAAACATCCAAATAAACGACTCAGTCGTTTCCTTGCTCAAAAATGCGCATGCTAGGACAATTGTTTGACCATGGTTATTAACTCCCAACATTGGTGCAAATGTCAAGTCGTATCTATTCGTGTTGAATGTGGTATCGAATACAACAACATCTCCATAAAACCCGTACGCCCGTCTAGAAGTTGCATCTGCCCAAAAACATCGACTAAACCTGTTATCGCCATCTCCCTCAATCTTGAAATAAAAAGCCTCATTTTTTTTCTGTTCAGCCATAAAATACTCGGTCACTAGTTCAACATCGTGGTTCCTCAGCTTCCCATTCACACTACATTCAAGATTGTACATATCCTTTTTGATAAAACCGATTTTATCCATTCCTCCGGATTGCACCTCGAAAATACTTACCTTCTGATTAATGGGAATATTAACCGAACCCAACTGTTTTGTGAGTACTTTTGTAGAATCTGAGATACGACGGTGTGATCTCAGTAAATGCATTCTTCCTGAGGGTGTCATCTTATGATTGTGTCCCTCTGCAAAAAGAGAGATGGTATACTTCTTGCTCCCATGTGTCTTCACAACCACAATCTTAGCTTTGCAATTGCATCTACTTATTCCCCGCTGTCTTTTTCTCTCCCGAGTTTCATCATTCCGGTATACACCTTGTTTGCAACATACAAATTCTTTTCTCAGAATCTCTTTCTTATTTTTCCCCCAAAAGCTGGAATGAAGTCGAATACCAAAGCCAGCCAAGAATGCATATCTATTATAGAAATTATAAATGAGGTCAAGCGAGTCGAACTTCATCCCAACTGCTGGTGTTTCCTCATTTCTTACTTCAGGAATGTAAACCCTCCCATTAGCTGTTACAGAGTCATCACTCTCTGAGCCCCTAGACATTTTATCCACGTATATTATTGATCTACTTCTATATTACTGCATAGCAAATGTTAATTCATTAATCAATCATTACTGCATCACAACTTATCAATGCATTCCACTTACACAAAACATTGCCCAAATTGACACAATACACGCATAGCCTAGCTTGTTGGATTCTGATTACACAAAACACAAGCAAAATTTAATAATAGTTACGTCATCTCTTGTGAAATAATCTGGAAAAAATAACATTAGAACCAACATGTTCAACTAAGAACTCAAATGTAATTCAAACCAGCAATTACAGAACTTCACCCAATATCCTCTCCAAATGCTTACTTCTAATGCCATTAAGCCTAAGTTTAGGATCTTTTACCTACATTTCATAAATTTCCAATCCCCCTCCAAACAAAAATAATCAACTAAGTATATTGAATATTCATAAGGAAATGACGCATTATTGATAGCAGAGCAAATGACGCATTATTGATGCCACAAATGACAAATTTCTCACCCTCACAAAAAACAAATCAAACCCAACAAAATCAATCCAGCAAGAGTGAACTTACCTCTCAAAGTCAAATGACGCATTATTGATAGCAGAGCAAATGACGCATTATTGATGCCACAAATGACAAATTTCTCACCCTCACAAAAAACAAATCAAACCCAACAAAATCAATCTAGCAAGAGTGAACTTACCTCTCAAAGTCAATCGGGAGTTCCGAACTCAGTCAGCTTCAAAGAATGTGGTGGACATTAGAGAGGATTCTTTCGTAGTGGAGACTCCATCTCTACCAAAATCCAGGAACAACTGCAGCAGCACGAAAAAGAGATATGCTACTTTGCTTTCATCTGGAATCTCTTCTGCTGAACGAAAAAGAGAAGGGGTTTTCACTTCAATCATAGAATCAAAACAGGGCAATAGCTAGGTAAAAGCCATTAATCATCATACCGAGGATACCATAGATCGCAGGCCTCCCAAGGAGCTGATGACAATGGAGCGATTATAGAGTTTGGGAGCTTTGGATCTTTCTAATTGTGGATTTGCATTACATTAAAAAAGAGAGGATTGTGTTCTTGAGTTTTTCACAGAGAGGGAAAAATCTTCAGCTGAAGTTGGGTTTCCAAACGGGTCAGATTTCAACCCGGTTCTACATGCACCCTCTTTTAAAATCTCACCGTTGGATGAAATCCAACGGCTCTTACATACCCCTCAAAAAAACCCCTTATAACTTTCCACTCACTATAGAAGCACTCTTCCAAGCAACCTAAATCCTCCATAACCTTTAGTGTGTCCAATGGGCCTTGTAAATCTTTGTATTCATCCACACCACAACCCACACAATAAGCCCTATAAATTTGTGTGGGTTAGGTCCATTTGAGCTTATTGACTGGTTTGGCATAAAGGGAAGTTCCTTGGTATGGATGCATGCACCACATGTTCACCATGCTTAAGTAATGTAGCAGGGTCCTAAAGCTTGTACGTAGTTATGCTTGTTGAAAGAGTGGGCTTGAGGGACATGGGTGTTGGTGAAACAACAATCAATATTACACTAATAATATAATTCAACAATTAAATTAAATAGTAAACAAAATCACAAAATTAAATAAAATAGTAAAATAAAACTGACTAGTTTTTTAGATAAAGGCTTACAGATTGCAATGTCCTTGAAACAGAATTTCGTCCCTAGTCAGTGCTTGTAGTTCTGCAAGCGTCTGCTCCACCATGATACAACTATCTTAAAACAAAGTCCTAGCACCAGGGCTTTGATTTCTGGCGAATTCTGTATGTTTATCTCTCAGGGTACAAGAATATGACTTAGAATGAAATCTGCGTTTTTGATGTATCTTAAGCAGAACTAGGGCTACTATTGATATAGAGGGCTAATACATGTTGGAACAAATATCATACAACGGTCAAACCCAATCAGACAAATTTATCTGATATTTGAATTTTAAAAAATAATACAAATAATTAATTAAATAATTAACTAAATTAATTTAATTAATTGGGTTTAATTTTAAATCACAGAGCCCAAGAGCCCCAAGGCCTAAGACCAATTTTTTGATTAATTAAATATATATGATTTATATATATTAATGAACCATTGACCCAAATGCCGGACCCAACAAGCCACTCAATTAGGCCACTTGCATAGCCTAATCCTAACTATTCTACTTCCAAGAGTAGGGCCCCGGTTGGGATTGCTTTTTGTCGCCAAAAACCTGTTTAACTTTAAAGTTAAGTAGTTTAAGGTGTTTTGTAAAAATAAAATATCATGTTTATTTTAAAAGCAATGATATTTTGACAGCAGCTTTAAAAAGCAACCTTGGGGTTGCTTTTTAAAGTTGCTTTGAAGCCGCGCGCTCTTTAATGAAATTTTCGCAATTCCACAAATACCCTTATTAGGTTAGAAATCTATCCTCACGTATTTCTCTCAAATCTGCAGACACCGAAGTTCATCTTCACTTAGCCTCCCAAGTTTGGAGACAACCATTCGCTTAATCTCTTTCAATCTCTTTCACAAGGTAGATTATTCAGTCTCTTCAATCTCTCAAACTTTTTATATACGTGCTACTTTTGTTTTTATTTTTATTTTTCTATTGGTTGTGCTTTGCTGTAAAACACTAGGATCAGATTTTAGAATCATAGGCGAAGATTCTTTATATATGTGCTTTGCTGCTTGTTATGTACATCTGATTCTTGTGTTGGAAATTTATCCCACGAAAACTTCTTGGCCAAATCAAATCCATGGTTTCTTCAGGCATGAACAGTGTCCATGCCATCCCAAGACCTGTGTTGGGGTCGCTAAATCTAGCCACCATTGAAGACCCATCTGATATGCTATTTTAATTTTATAGAGAGCTTGATTATAAAAGAAATAAAAGTTTGCTATTTAATTTTATTTTCCATAAGTGATATATGTATAGTTTTTCTTTGACTTCCATTAATCTTTGGTAAAGCTTCTGTTTTGTGAATAAATATCAAAACTGCATACCCAAAAAATAAGGGAAAAATATATGGGAGTGTGTTTGAATCCTTGTCATCTTGTACAACTTGGTGTATTGCTTCTGATGGATTTAGTTTTGCCCAAGTTTTCCTATAGGTAATTACTTCGGCACTATGCATGTTTTTAGTAAAAGCATTATTTGCTATAACATGTTCATCTCCCAATATATACATATTTATATAAGGACATGCACAGATGGTGAAGAATAATAGTGTGGCTAGTGGATCACAAGTTCCAGCTGTATGGAATAATCAGAATACAACAATATTTTGTGACATGCATATCAAGGAGGTGGAGGCAAGTAAGTGGGCGAATCTATTAAGGTGCAAGGAGGTGCAGCTGCACCTCCCTTCGCCGGAAAAACCATTGTAGGTGCTTCAAATTGCCCCTTTACTCAACTGGTGTACAGATTACCTTATTTCCATTTTCAACATTTAAGTAAATGTCTTTGTCTTTTTACTTTTATTTATTTTTATATTACTCCATTTACTTAAGTTTACAATGTAAATAAGGAAGTACCCCCCCATTTGGATTCAAATAAAAACAAATAAAAATACTAGAAAATCAAATTCCCACCAAATCAAAATATGAAAATTCGGTTTTAGTGCAAAATACAATTTAAGCTAAAAATGATGGCTCATTAAGTCAATATATACTTCATACTAAAATCCCATAAATTCAAGTTTTCTTATTTGATGTATAAGGAATAAAAGCCGCCAAAAATTATCTTGAGAAAATGATTATTCCGAAAAACCATTTTCATACTTAGTCAATATTGCACCTCCGCTCAAAAATTTCTGGGTCCGCCACCAAATGGTAATGTTTCAAATATGTGCATATCATTCAACTTCGAATTTTTGCACTTTCAAATTATATTATAATTAAACATATCTTATTGGTTACAGGAAAATATTATCTTGTGGATGCGGGTTACCCACAAATGAGCGGGTATTTGGGACCATATAAAGGTGAAAGGTATCATTTTCCAGATTTCCATAGGGGTACTCAACCAACAGGTTTTAAAGAAGTATTTAATCATGTACACTCTTCCTTTAGGAGTGTCATTGAATGCACTTTTGCTGTGCTTTAGAAAGAATTAGTTGAAACAACAATCAGTATTACACTAATAATGTAATTCAACAATTAAATTAAACAGTAAACAAAATCATGAAATTAAATAAGACAGTAAAATAAAATTGAATGGTTTTTCAGATAGAGGCTTCCATATTGCAACTTGAAACAGAATTTCGCCCATACTCAGTGCTTGTAGTTCTGCAGGCGTCTGCTCCACCAGGATACAACTATCTTAAAACAAAGTCTTAGCACTAGGGCTTTGATTTCTGGCGAATTTTGTATGTTTATCTCTCAGGCTACAAAAATATGACTTAGAATGAAATATGCTTTTTTTGATGTATCTTAAACAGAACCACAGGCCTCCTGTTTATATAGAGGGCTAATACCTGTTGGAACAGGTATCATATAACGGTCAAACCCAATCGGACAAACTTATTTGATATTTGAATTTTAAAAAATAATTCAAATAATTAATTAAATAATTAACTCAAAATTAAATTAATTAATTGGGTTTAATTTTAAATCACAGAGCCCAAGAGGCGCAAGGCCCATCTTTTGACTAATTAAATATATATTATTTATATATATTAATTAACCATTGGCCCAACTAATTAGGCATTGACTCAAAGGCCAGATCCAACAAGCCACTCAATTGGGCCACTTGCATAGTCCAATCCTAACTATTCTATTTCCAAGAGTAGGTCTTATAAATACCTTCGAGGAACTATAGTTTTTCAATGTAGGACTAATTTCAACTCAAATATATTTGCAATGCCTTTCAAAAACCAACAATACCCAACATTTGAGTTCAAATTTGTATTCGAACACCTAGCAATGGGCATCATACGACTTTGTTTGTTGCTTAGGGTGGATTGTTGGTATAATATTACTCATCGTGTTATTCCTCATGGAAGTGAAATGAGTAGATTGCATAGATTTGGTGTGTTCATTCCAAGTGCCAAATTAGGGCCCTTTTGGTTAATGAGAAAGGAGGCTTGGGGATGGAAAATTAATTGTTTTTTCATATTTGGTAAGTCCAAGCATGAGAAATGGTTGCCTAGCACATGAGAAAGTAGGGGGGAAAGTGAAACCCTCCTCCCCTCTTGGGTTTTGTTTTCCCTCCTCATGAGAAAGTTTTGGAAAATGAACAAACATTAAATGCACATTTTTCATGACTATTTTGTTCCCATTAACAATTTAGAATTACAATATATATATCATTCAATGCATTTTTTATTTGATTTAATATGGGTATAATTGAAAAATTATACAAATTTTGTTTTTCATTCCAACTCAAAACAAACATGGGAAAGAAAATAAAGTGATATCTCCCGGTTACTTTCCCAGCATTACAAAACATGGGAAATGACTTGCGAAATGACATAGGAAGTGATTTCCCCTCAAATTCGTTCCGTGAAACAAATGGAGCCTTAAAGTTTTGTTTGGCATAGCGTGAATATCATCAAAATGTGTCTGATGAGTTACCCTTACTATGGTTATTTTTCTATTAATTCTTCTTACTCCTTGATTCCACGTGCTGTATTTGATAAGCTCCAAATGTTCGTGCTAAAATCATACCCGACCCCATGGCTAGAGGTGAAGCAAATGGAAAATTGTTGCCCGCATCTTGAATCGGAGTTTGTCTATTATCAAATGGATTAGCAGTTAATATGGTAGATCGGATAGCAGGCGGGCTCCATTTTGGATGTGCGCTTTTCAGAAGTGCAGCCAAGCCAGTAACATGGGGAGAAGCCAAGGAAGGAAACTCCAACCATTGCACATAGCCTGCTGGTTTATTTGGAACCCGAGCACCCAAAATCTGTGACCCGGGTGCCATTACGTCTGGCTTCACAGTGCCTACATAAACATGTGAAGGACCTCATGACGCATAATACGGCAAACTTGGAGCACAAATATTCGTCCTCGTAATTGTTTCTCGGAAGTTCATGTTAACCAAAGGCATGTTCGTGCTTTCTACGTAATTCATCAAAACATTTCCGTCTTGTACTGAAATAAATGTGCAGGCGCAGGAAACTTATTTGTTTATACCAAAATGAACAGCCAATGAATACCAAACACGTGGAACAAACCAGGGCTACGAGTGCCTTCGGCACTCACCTTCGGTACCAAGCCTACCGATCGCAACATTAAGGCAACCTTGCCCCTCTGGACGCGTGGCAGTCTCACTATTGACGCCCAGAGTCCCACATCGAAACTCTCAACAAATTGCACACCTCCCAAGGCCTATAAAAGAGGACACCCATCCCAGCTTGGAGGTAATCAATCAGAACTTACGGCATACTGCCTATTGATCTGAAGTTCAAACTTATTCAATCCGTACTTACTTAAGCATCGGAGAGCCTTCGGCCGGTACCACACCGGTGCCCTAGAATTACCGTGCGTTTGCTTTCTTGCAGATAGCACACCCTACCGAGGACATCTGATACCGAAGAGACCTAATCACTAAGTTACGCGGGAAAGTATCAAACCATTTTTCTGCGTCAACAGTATTCAACTTCACTGTTAGAAATCAAAATGGCTCCCAACACTTGTGAAGAGCTTATTTCTTCGATCTGCTTAGTTGCATTATATCCATCATCACAAACCACGACGCCATGACATGCTAGATCTGTCAACTTGTGGGAATTATTGCATGGTGATAGTAACTTTGTGTGCACCAGTCGTACATTTAGCAATGACGTATTTCCAACAAATTTTGATCGTCCTACGATTTTCATTCCATTTCCAAGAAATAAGTACGCGGCAAGCAATCGATCTGTGGTGCCTGCCATTATACACAGTGGAACTTGGACCTTCATTACCAGCTGCGCACGAAACTATGATACCTTTCTCCATGGCAGCGAATGTTCCCATTAATATAACATTTGTAAGCATGGTGGACTCTTCCATTCCTAAGGAGATGTTGATAATAACATCAACACCATCAGCAATGGCATTTTCTATTCCGGAAAGAAAATCCAATTCATTGCATCCTTCTTCCCAGTCAACCTTATATACTGCTATCCTAGCTCGGGCGCGACGTCTAGAGGTTCCGTTAGCATACCCAAAATAAGAAACCTTGTCTATGTAATATCCCAAGCCGAGACCCCGCCATCCGCTTACTCTTCCAACGAATCCAGAAGATGGAGGATGACCGAACCCAGTCCCA